TCCCGGATTGTTGGCTGGCAGTGTACTGTTAGAGTTGATAGTACTAATTACAACTTTATGGTTTATCCAAATTTAACTATAGCGTGTGATTATTGGGATAAATCTAGCTGGAATTATGGAGTAGCAGATCCCATTCCTGTGAGGGCTTCCTCAGGCTGGGTATGTATTGACAAACCTTGTTATCCAGAGGACACTTATCTTGGTAACAGTACATGTTCCGTTTCAATCTCTGCCTTCTCCATGAATGGCACATTTTGGTGTAAACATTCTACCACCACAAATACCAACCCATGCGGTATTTAGATGAAGGAACCACTCCCTTTGGGTTTCTATTGGGTTTGTGGAAACAAGGCTTATCCATCACTCCCATCTGATTCATGGTGCGGTTCCTGTTACATGGCTGTAGTCATGCCTCCTATTACGGTCCATACTGACCAATGGACTTTTACTTCATATGAAAAGAGAACTTGGCGTTTCCCTAACAGGTAAACAAACATGGAATGGTCACATTATAAAGGACCCCTGGTCTAGTATAGCGCAGACAGTAGGGTGGGGAATATTTCCATTTGGAGGTGTTATAGATGCCTTACAGAAGATAAATTATTTGGCTTATTCCGCACAGAAACTAGCTAATGAGACTAGTGAAGCTCTCCGCTTAGTAAATGATGAACTCCGTGCATTACGAGAAGTAGTGCTGGAGAATAGGAAGGTTTTAGACTTGCTGACCTTAGAAAAAAGAGGGGTATGTCACATTCTCAATACCTCCTGCTGTATCTATGTCCCAGATAACTATGAAAATATTGATAAATACGTAGCAGACCTTCATAGACTCATTCCAAATCCTGCTCCGGAGGGATCGCTTGATAAGATCTTTAACTGGGTTGGCAACATTTTTGGAGGTATATTTTCTGGAATCTTACAGCAACTGCTCTGTTATGTACTTCCCTTTGTAGCACCGGTAATAGTTGCTATTGTTATTTACTTTTGCCTCAAATTACTCTGGTGCTTAATGACTAAACTCCGCCGGCGTAGGCGTTCCTTATAACCATGGAACCACTTCATTTCCCCAATTTGCCTGTATGCGGACTGAAGGAAAAGAGGCCCGTCTTTAGGACGTGAAGAAAGAGGGAAATACTGGCCATATTTCTCTGGAAGAGAAAAGGATAGATTGATTAAGCTTGCGAGAACATACCTTTTATAGTATGTTCTAAGGGGGGAATGAAGGAAGTTAATGTGCTGTGTTGTGTGTGTGTGTGTGTGTGTGTGTGTGTGTGTGTGTGTGTGTGTGTTTTGAAGTTGTATTTTAGGCTGCCTATTGTTGTCTTTCTCCTTATATGGTCATGTTGTCACACCTGTTACTTGCCCTGTATACACTGGGTCTAAACTTGGCATCAGTCCAGCTATAAAAGTGTGACAGTCCATTGTATAGGGGGCTGGCTGGGTGTCTGGAACCTGCGCGCGCATCAAATAAACTTCACCTGTCCAGACAACAGATCGAGTCTCCCGGGTTTGGATTCTATCAATAGTTAAAATATCACTGTGGATACAATCAAAAACATCTAAAGGAATGAACTGTACCAGGGTCAAGATCACATACGGATGAACTTAATTTGTTTATAACAGTTGTGAGGTCCTGGAGTTGATAACAGAGAAAGATGTCATTACTGATGTAGATGGCTTGTCAGGAAGGTTATAGGAGCTTGTTTCAGCTGGCTGAGCTACGCTCGGTTTTATGTAGATGAAGAAGCTGAAGAAAAGCCAAACATTTCAAATTCAAGATTAAAGTGTGTTCAATACTAAAATATTGTAGATGAATTTGTTACAGACAGCAGGTTCATGGAGGGATTTTAGAATTTTTTGCTTGATGCAAGCTTGACTGATGGATCCTGTTGGATTTGACCCAACAATACCATGACATTCTGCTAGGTGGCAGCTTACACTTCTGTCCAGATGAACTGGAATGTCTTTTGCATGTGACGCAAACTCTTGGCAAGTAATTAATCAGTTAAATGACATTGTAAACACAAACTATACTAATGAAACTTTGCAGATTTTTGGGCCTCACATAGCACTGAAACAACACTTGTCTAAGTTTGATTTGAGACTCAGACAGCCTGTCTCTCTTGGTCCTCCTAGATCTCAGTGCAATATCTGATACAATTGACTATGAAAGTTCAACCTTCCGAGCTAGGTTGACCTTTATGGCTCACTCTAATACAGTAGTCCAGTCTCATACAAGACTCAGGTATATTACACTGGTCCAAGGCACCTCTGCAAATTGTATGCCTTCATCTTATCCACAGCCCAGCAAATTAAATGAATGTTCATAGTATCATAACCATAAATGTTTCCACAATCGTTATTTATACAAACTCCTCCACTGTAATGACACACTCTAAAGCTTCTTGTGAACTAACAGCTGTCCATAACACTCAGCCTGCTAAGCATAAATGAGTTTGAGTTACAAGTCAGGTCCATGAAGTTTCTCACATATACAACAAAAAGACCAAATCTACTTATTTGCCCATTGTTTTATTGATATCATGCAATTAAATTGATCTTTTAAAAAGCAGACAGAATGGAGCATATGATTAAAACACATGACAATACAGCTGGATATTACATATTATCGACACACATCAAACTAGAAACACATCAAACCAGAAATAAGCAGCACAAGTCCTTCTGAGCCCTATCTCAACCAAACTCCTGCTTATACAAATAAGCAGCATGCAGTATGATTAGGTGTCCCACAGGGCTCAATTCTGGGACCTTCTTTATTGATGTTCAAGAACAAAATCAGAGCACCATTCATAAATCTGAACATACAACATATATATATATATATATATATATCTCTATATACATATATATATATATATATATATATATATATATATGTATATATGTTAGGTAATGATAAAATAAGATAAAGGAATTCTAACAAAACGACATGCCAACATAAAAGACATTCAACTACATAGATGAAAGAATATTTAAACCTGGATTAATCACAGTCTGAGTATCTAAACCTGGATTAATAACAGTCTGAGTATTTAAACCTGGATTAATCACAGCCTGAGTATCTAAACCTGGAATAATTACAGTCTGAGTCTCTTAACCTGGATTAATCACAGCCTGAGTATCTAAATCTGGAATAATCACAGTCTGAGTATCTAAGCCTGGATTAATCACAGTCTGAGTATCTAAGCCTGGAATAATTACAGTCTGAGTCTCTAAACCTGGATTATTCACAGCCTGAGTTTCTAAACCTGGATTAATCACAGCCTGAGAATCTAAATCTGGAATAATCACAGTCTGAATATCTAAATCCGGATTAATTGCAGTCTGAGTATATAAACCTGGATTAATCACAGTCTGCATATTTAAACCTGGATTCATAACAGTTTGAGTCTCTAAACCTGGAATAATCACAGTCTGAGTATCTAAACCTGGATCAATCGCAGTCGGAATATCTAAACCTGGATTAATCACAGCCAGAGTATCTAAACCGAAGATTTGCTTTGTTAGAAAGACCTCAGATCCACTATTTCTGTTTGTCCAACTGCAATAAAAAAGGCTTCACATTAACACTACAAAAAACCCCAAAACTTATTTCTTTATCTTGAATCTTTTTCTCCACATCTTCGTTTTTCTTCTGGTTTTTTTTTAGCTCCAGATGGATACCTTTCTTTTCTAAAACATGATAAACCAGATGCTTTTTTCTACTAACTCAAGCATCATAGACAACCTAGTGGCACAATAATAGCTGTGGGCTTCTTAGATGCTTGTTAGGTAGAGTCGGCACTGCTGAACACAGCAGTTATACAATGCTGAAGCTGTTAATGATTCAGCCCTGTTATGACACTCAGGAACTGAGGACCAGGAATGGATACACTGGAAACATTAGATATCCAAATAAGTCTTGAACAAACGAATGAATTAAATCACACGTGTCAGGCTCCAGTCCTGGGGGGAAAACACAGCAGACTTTAGCACGCTACCTCATTAAACAAACAGATTCAGCTCTTTAGCTAATCATCAAGGTCTTCATGAACTGATTTCAGAGTGTTAGATGAGGGTAAACACTTATGTCTGTAGCACTTTGGCCCAGAAGGTCCCATTTCAGGCATGTCAAACTGGGGACCACAAAAACACTGCTTGAAAGCTGATTGTGGAGAAACATCAACCTGCTAAACATGTGTGAGTGAGTGACAGGCCAAGTGGCATAAGCATTAATAAAATTCAATGAACAAATGAATGGAAACACTTATATATATGGTTGAATGTGTTATTATAAGAACTGTGCATACTCTAGTCAATGTGTTTTCTTTTGTATTTTTTATTTATTTTTTATTTTGGGAGGGGGGGGGGATTCCTGCTTATGCATAATGGGTTTTACCCACAGGTTTAGGTGGTAAAGTCCAACTAGTCCTCTGGGGAGAGGAGGTGGAAATATGGGCTCTGAATCTGGCTATGCTATGTATGTTTTGCTGCCTGAAGCACCCATACCTTGTCAGTGAGCTGGACCAAGAGGGCACTGGACGTACTGCACATATCTTGTATGTTTGTTTGGTCTTGTAAGCCCAAGGGTCGGCACATTTGAATTTCCTCTCAAGAGCAATAAAAGTAAGTTATTCAGCTGAAAAAGTCTTGTCTACTGTACATCCTGTCACCTCCCTTGGCCACTCAGTGACTATAGTGTCACATTAATTCTGTATTTGCCTATATTTCCAACATAATAAGCAACCCAGCAGCGTGAACTACTGTCCTGATGAAAGACATTTGGGAGTGTTGTTCTGTGTTTTAACTCTTTTATAAATATGAAATTATTGTGTATGTGTGTGTGTGTGTGTGTGTGTGTCTGTGTGTGTGTGTGTGTGTATACATTCATTTGCATCCATTCAGTAATCCGTCATGCAAAACATCATTGAAATGATTGAGGAGTACAAAACAAATAAAGAGTTCTGGCTTTAGTTTGCTCCTCAATTTCACTGTCATCCAGACACAGAATAACTTTACCAGCAGTAACAGGTAAGAAACCTTTAAGACTCTAATCCCATTACTGAGCTTTAACTCACTCTCAGAGTGAAAGGATTTGTTTCTAATTTGAAGTTTAAAAAACAAGCTTCATTTTAAAAATAAGTAAGTTTTTAATTTCTGTTATATTTTTTTTAAAGCAAATCATCTGTAAAAAGTATGACGGAGAAACTGCTATACTTACTGTTTCGATTTACTGAACAGGGATTACGTCCAGTCCAGAACTCTGAATGGGCTTAATCCAACATTCATGATTTTCTTAAACATCATCATAACTTCAAAAATAACAAAACAGTTGTTTTCCACTTACTGAAAGTGCTATCAAAAACAGAGCAAGCTGACTGGCTGATACTGTATATAATGTACACATTTCTCAGTTTAACTTCTCTAAGTCTCTTTATACTCCAGATTAACAGGTTTGTGTTCAGATAAAACACTGCTGCTCTCTGAATGTGTTCCCTGTTGTAGTTTGTGACTTTAAGCTGCAGCTGTGGGTCATAATTTATATCCTACTTTTAACGTATGAAATGAGTTTATTGCTGAAATGATGACTTTTACTATTTTGACAAAAGCAATGCACTGCGAAGCCCACTGCAGAGGGTGGGCTGAATATTAATGAATATAAAAAAAGATGTAATGTTACTCTATTGTAGACTTTCTCTGAACAAAAGTGCTTTCTAGATTTCTCTATTTTGGATTAGTGTTTGATTCTTGCTGTGTGAAACCTATTCTAGCAAGATCCTCTGGTTTCGTCTGTTTAAAAATATGTAATGTTTTCTTTTAATCTCACATGGCGTGACGCTCCTCTGCACACCAGCCAATCAGAGCTCAGCATCACCTGTTTATTTACCACCAGAACCTTTTCTTCATCACAGCTCGTCTTCACTTCACCTCAGTGTATTTCTTATTCCTCTCTCAGGCTCTGGAAAGTTTGGGCATTGAGGTTCTTTCCTCTTCTTTTTCTGTCTTTCTTTAGTTGTGATGTTTTTTTTTTTCTTTTTATATCTGTAGATTTAATTACTTTCTGCATGAGAGTACAGTCTCAGAAGCTGCTTTATTACACAATGACTTTATCTGAACAGACTGACCAGTTCATACATTACTTTAGCAGTTGGTCAGATAAACTAGTGCATGTTGTTTTTTTAAATATGTAATGGCATTCACTGAGGTGTTCATATGCTCACTCTATTCAACAATCTGATGGAAAATCTCTGTTTACATGCTCACTACAAGTAATCCAATCCAAAATTACACACATACATAGAGAACCACTTAGTGTAGACGTTACCATGACAACAAGCGTCTTGTAAGTCGAGTCAGAGTGAGATGAGCAGCAGTGAGCAGTGCTTGGGCTTTTGAATACTTTAAAATGATGTCAGACCCAGAAAAATGTACCTCACGTCCTTTTAAAGAAGGCCGAGAGGAAGACGTCGTGTTCTGAGACACATAAGCTGGACGTCCGTCCCACTGCCGTCTTTTAAAGATCAGAGCATTAACTTCGTCTCCTCTGCTGATCAGTTTCTGCTCCTGCAATGTTGAACGTTACAAACTTTCACTATGAACACAAGTGCAATGAGCTATTAGTCGGATTATTAATGGATTATCAGGCTGCATGTAAATGTGGGTACTGTTCAGATACAACCCCAATTGCAAAAAAGTTGGGACAGTGTGTGAAATGCTAATGAAAACAGAAAGCAGTGATCAGCAAATTCTTTTTGACATGTTTTAAAATGAAAATGATACAAAAAACACATTTTTTCATGGTTTACCTTATAAATTTTTTTTGTTTGTTTTTTTATAAATATCCACTCGTTCCAAATTTTATGCTTGCAACATTGGAGCAGGAGCACGTTTACCACATTGTTACATCACCTTTCCTTTTCACCAGCATTTAATAAATGTTTGGGGGACTGAGGACACAAATTAATCCAGTTTTGAAGGCGTAATTTTTTGCCATTTTTCTGTTATACTACCTGTGCAACCATGCAGGGCCTTTATTGTCATATTTTGAGCTAAATAATGCAACACATTTTCAAAGGGAGACAATTCTGGACTGCAGTCTCAGTCCCATCCTGTGTTCAGACCCAATGCCACCACTAGATGGGAGCAGAGAGCCACCTCTAGGTAATTAGAGACAACCAGTCACACCTGTGTTTGGCTCTAACTAAGAGTGGCTGTTTGTTCTGTGCTCAGTCATGAGTTTGTATGCAATGTGCATGCACCTCTTGATCAAGCTGGTATTTGGGTAATTGCTCTAAAGTCTCCCAGAGTTTGCTCCTGGTCCCTCTTAGCCTTGCTCTTGAGTCACTTATGACAACAGCATAAGAAAAAGTAAGAAATTAATTAATAAATAAGACAAAGGGAATAAAATAAAAGGAAAAGGCTTAAATTATTCTTCCTTTTTCCTTCTGTTTTTTGAGTCTTTGGCTAGCCCCACTTGACCCTCTAGACCATGGTTCAACCCCAGCGTGGGGTGTTTCTTGGTTTTGCTTCTTTTGTGTCGTTTTAGTTAAGGCTTCTCTCTGGCACCTGGGCCAGCATTTCTAGACTTTGTTTAGTTATACTATTAATTTCATTGTTTTCTTTCACTGCCACCTGCTCTTGTGTTCTGCCATTGTGGATCCCCCCCTCCATAGCTGGTGGTTAAACCAGTAACACTTTGGCCTCCTATACCTGTCCCAGTCCTAACACTTTTGGATTGTCTTGCAAGCGTCAATAAAATCAACACTACAATGAAGTTGATAAGACAAATTACTTGTCTTGGTACTGTTTACATTCAAAAACAGGTCTGTTTCACTGGAAGCTGAAACAGTCCATGTTTTATATCAATTGTTTACAACAAAATACAAAAAAACTGTTTCTTACACCTTAAAGTGCAACAATGGCTGTAAGTTCTAGTTGTTTATTATTCTCTGTCACTATCCCTTTCCTTAAAGGGGAATTCCACCAGTTTTTCAACATTTCTGCATAACTCAATTGTGAAGATGTAAACAAACTCACTCAGAGTGGTCTGATGTGAAGTGCTGTTATAGAGAAACTTTTGAGAAATTGTTTACAGTGAATGTAAAAGAAACCAGACACCTGAAGAAAAGGTTACAAGAGATTAATTTCCCCCCATATTTACTCTATCATAACTACTTTACTGTTATGAGCATTACACATAAAATGTGTGAAGGTTCACTTGTGGTTTTGGATAGTAAACAAAATAACAATTTTTGTGTTGTAGTCATGGTGACCCCTGGTTCCTATTACTACCACTGTAAAGAAACCCTGTCTGTAAGGCATTTGGCATCAAACCACTCTGAGTGACTTGATTTACCACAGATTTATTATACTTTTTTTAAAATTGGTGGAATTCCCCTTCAGCTTCAGAAAATTCCACGCTGGAGCATCTCTCTAATATCTGATTCTGTTACTAAATACACCAGTCAGGCATAACATTATGACCCACTGGTTCCTGAATTTAAACAGCATGATCTAATATGCTGGTAGTAAAGACTGTTGAGGTGTTTAATGTGTGAACTGTGTCTCTCTTGTTCTCCACAGTCATGAGTTCAGCTCTGTATCTGATCCTGCTTTTCTCAGGTCAGTGTAGCTTCATGATCATCTGTAAAACTCTCTGCTGCTTCATTACTGTACTGTCATGCTGATGAGAGCTTTCATCTCTACAGCTCTGTGGACTCTCTCCTTCTGTGGGACTCGTCACTTTCATGTGGTGGAAGAAAATAAGAACTGGACCAACGCTCAGAAACACTGCAGAGAGAAATACACTGACCTGGCCACCATTGAGAGCCAAAAGGAAATGAACACTGTAAAAGCTGTTCTCAACAAGACAACAGGCAATTTCTGGATCGGACTAAAGCAGAAAGATGACAACGACAACAACAACAACAACAACAACAACGACACTGTAAGTACATTTAGATTTATTCACATTCAGAAGGTGTGTGACTAATAAAACTGGGTGCAGGTTTTGTAAATATAATATAATAATAATAATATAATATATAATTAGTGACCGTTAGGCCAAAACTCTGCACCAATCCCTATTTGTTTTGGATTTATAAGCATTTTTTTAAAGATACTTTATTTTCGCTGAAAATATTGTAAAACTGAAATGCAGATTCAATCATTAAAGTCCTCATGTGGCTGATGATGATTTTATCTGGTGTGATAATGAACACTTAGAGGTCAGTGTTTAAACAGTTTACTGATCAGGTATTAATGTGTTTCTAGAGCTGGATCTGGTCAGATGGGAGTAACTCCCCATACAGATACTGGAACACTGGAGAGCCAAACTTCGGTGGGGGTCAAATGTGTGCGGAGTTACAGCCTAACTCTGCATACAAGTGGAATGACGTAGGCTGCCACAATGACCAAAATCAATTTATCTGCTATAAAAGTGAGTAACGTGATAAATGCAATACATCTGTTACAGGTTCAGTTCATTCACTTATAACCTTTTATTTCAGTAACTGCTGAAATAAGTAAGTACAGTACATGTTTATGCAAAAGTTTGAACACCCCCTGGTCCAATGATGTTTTCTTGATTTTCTAAGTGAATATAGAGGAACACGTCCTCTACAGTGAAGGTACAGGTGTTTCCCTGCAAATTTTAATGCAACATGTCTATGTAATTAAACATATTTTTTTAAAAATGGATTGATTTGAAAATCAATCAGGGGTGCCCAAACTTCTGCATACAACTGTACTACATTAAGGCTGAGTATCGTCAGCAACTTGATATGATACTAAGTCAAAACACACCAGATATATAAGAGGCAACTGTTGGTCAACAAAATTTGTTTTAAAATGTACAGTAATGGTGTCAAACATACAGTGAATGTAGAGTAAATGTACAGTAACAGTCTAATGAATGTTTTGAAAGGTGTTTTGACCATTTTTAAATAAACGCTTACTTTAACTATGAGTTTAAAAGCATGAGAATAGTGAATAAGTAATTCTGGGGCAGCTTCCAACAACTATATTATAAGTGTAGTTTAGTTCCAAGAAATAGTTGGGACAGTAGGTAAAATTCAGATAAAAACAGAGCAGAGTGATGTGTAAATTCACAAAGAAAACTGAAACAGATGATGCAGTCATGCTTGAATATAAAAGGAGGAAAAGCAGAGTCTTTTATAAGTAAGTATTTTTCGGCATTTGGCACTTTGCAAAAATGCATCATCAAATAATGCAGCAGTTTAGGAATTTAGGGTCTTTGGCGAGGGATAGCAGGGATTATAGGTATTTCACCCTCTGTAGTACATAATATCATCACAATAAATAAATAATATCAAAATATTCAGGGAATCCAGAGAAATCTGTGTGTAAATCACAAGGCTGAAAATCACAACTGAATGGCTCTGACCTATGACCCCTAAAATGACACTGTGTTTAAAACCAGCATGCTTCTGTGATGGACATCACCTCATAGGCTCAGGAACCACTGTTCATCACTGCATCCATAGATGTAAGTTAAGACTGACTGTCTTTAATTGAAAATGTGTGGTGCGTTATTAAATGCAAAATATGATAATGAAGGCCTTGAACGGCAGCACAGCTGAAGACTTGTATAACAGAAGAATGGCGAAAATTCCGCTTTCTAAACTGGATAATTTTGCGGCTTCAGGCCCCAAATCATTATTAAGTGCTGTAAAAAGGGCAGGTGATGTAACACAGTGGTCAACATGGTCCTGTCCCAGCTTTGAGAAGCACAATAATAACTGAACTGTTTGATGTAATGGTTAAATCTTACATATACAGCATTTAGCAGACACTCTTATCCAGAGCAACTTACAAAAGTGCTAATCTTTTTTTCTCACCCTTCTGCAGAGCTTCCACTCATCCTGATTAATCAAACCAAGACGTGGAGAGAAGCTCTGAGATACTGCAGAGAGAATCATGTGGATCTGGTCTCTGTTTACACTGAGGAAATTCAGAATTGGGTGGAAACAGAGGTTGATTATGCCTCCACTGCTAATGTGTGGATAGGTCTGCGTCACATCTGCACCCTGAATATCTGGTTCTGGATCAGAGGAGAGTTCGTCTGCTACCAGAACTGGGCTCCGGGGAACGGGACAGGGGAGGAAGACTGCAGTGGAGGAGAAAGAACAGGAGCGGTGCAGTCTGGAAGTAAGAAGTGGGTCAGTCTGCCAGAGGATCAGAAACTCAACTTCATCTGCACCACCTCTGAGGGTGAGACAGAGGATCATATATCTGTCAACAGCTGAATATTGATGATGAAATAATACTGATTGATGTTATTTGCTTCTTTTTAGAGCTCTAGAAGAGGATGCAGGCTGTTCAACTGGATCCTCGTAGTTCAGGATCATAATGATATTTAAGAGAAATTTCTACATCTACATGATTATTTATTAGCAAGAGGATTTAGAAATCAGTTTCAAACTTACAGTGACTATGATATGTAAAGATAATGTACATTGTTATGATACTCTATACTATATTTTTATGCTACTGGCTGTTATTTTTATCCTTCATCAAGACACTAAAATTTGCAAGTAACCACAATAAACAAAAACAGTCCAACCAATTTTCCTTCATATATACTAATTATCCTAAACTCTTAATTGTGTACTAATAGAAACTTTGATAACACTTTCTATGAATGTCCCCTTTGTAAGCATCTACAAACACATTTATAACATGTTATAATGTATTCATAAGGCATTATAAACATGGTTATAAATATATATAAAAAAGAATTACACTGAATTACACTTTATAGCCATGTTTATTATACATTATGAATTGTTAATATAATGTATTATAAATAATGTTAATAACATGTTATAATGTCAGTGCCAAAGAAGTCAGTCCCAGCTTGGAGAGCATAAAGTAAAGACAAATACCAAGCTAACGATGGTGTACATTAACTTTCCCTCATTGGGTAAAACACTGATGGCAGCACTAGTTTAAACTCTGACATTTGAAGCCTGTAATGAGCTTTATTGTGGATGTTTTAGTGTTTCAGTAAATCCTTCAGAAAATACTTTAACTTGAAGCCTCACTCTTAACACTGGAGGAGGCTTTAGTACAGTACGCTTCACTTTACTTAGAGTGGACAAATGAGACTCATAAGGTCTTATAATTTGTTATGATCTGTACTTATAATGTATTATATTAGCAATTCATAATGCATAATAATCATGGCTATAATGTATAATGCATTTTTATAAATATTTATAGCCATGTTTATAATGCCTTATGAATGCATTATAACATGTTATGAATGTGTTTATAGATGCTTACAAAGGTGACATTCATAGAAAGTGTTACTGAAACACTTGTTTCGTAAGATTCTTGTAAGATTCATCACATCTTTAGAAACTGAGAGATTTCATCTGTTCTGTTGTTCGGAATGATGATTTTGAATGTGGATCATGTACATGATGTCCAGGCAGTTATACTGAATGCAGTTATAGTTTATTGCAGGCTTGCATTAAATAAAAATCTCACACAAAATTTGTGTTTTCTGCCTGAAATATTGCAGCTATTCAACTAACTCCAAAATCTCCTCCTGTAAGAATCTAATAACTCTATCCTGGTGTCAGTTTCACACATGCTGGTGAGGACCTGCTCACCTTTGCTTTCTAATGGCTCTTTTAAGCTTGATATTTATACCTGGTGCCATATGTGTTTGAAACTGTACGTGAAGACATGCTCACGTCTGATTACCTTCACCACCTCCAGGGGGGCAAAGGAGCCATTGAACAAAACAGTCAACAGTAATGATCATAAATGTTGATAATATGGGGAAGCAGACATTTGTATGAGGATCATTCTACTGAAATGGTTTAAAACATATTTCAGACTGGTGACCTGGACTTTAAAACAAAAACCCTTTTGCTTTGAGTGACCCTATACATTAATTATAGTTATTTTCTTAAAAACAATTTAATATTCCATTTTCTCACTAACGGAACAATCACAACACTACTAAAGCTTAACCATATGTTTCAGTTGTGACAATTTTAGCTAATTTTCAGCAGAAGTCAAAAACCCTAGCCAGTACATGACTAGCAATCACAGCGTTAAACAGTTGTACACACATACAGTCATAATATTTTTCTTCAAACACACACAAAAAAAATTAATTGCGGAAAATGTGTTTCAGTAATGATAGTTCTTGATGTTACACGCTGATTTTTAGACTTTGGGACACATTAACTTCAAAACAATGTGATCTAACTGTTCACCATGTGGCCATGAAGGACGGGGATGCAGCCTCACTTCCTGCTCTAAAATGCATTGGGCGTGGCTAAAATAAGGCTCCGCCTACAGACTAAAACTCTGTGTTTTAGTAGGACATGGAAACGTTAGTCAGCAAGAAAGGCCTGGGTTTGGTTCCCCAGCCGGGCCACCAGGGTCCTTTCAGTGTGTGTGTGTGTGTGTGTGTGTTTGTGTGTTCTTAGCTTAAGCGTATATTTAACTTATTACTGTCTTTGTTAATGCCTTGAGTTTAAATTAATCATAACACAATTTTTAAAAATATTTAATATCTAAATATTTCATGTTTTTTTTTTAAATATATATATTTTTTAAACTGCAGATTGAAATAGTTTGGCAGAATGGTCACTGAGAGCACTGCAGTCCTCCTCCAAGAGCTCACGTCACATGACATCATTGTGCTAATGTGGAGGGCAGGAGGTCTCTAGATTTAACAGCGTGCAGTCTCAGGGTCTTCACATGCAAATGAGTTCTGTGATTTTAAGGACACTGTGAAAAAGCTTTGTGAGAAAAATATCCATAATCATAAGTTGCAAATAACACTGCTTCCTCTATCCCGCTAAACATGTAGCCCAGTGGAGAACTGTCAAAAGTCTGCATTGATGCTCACTCACCGTTGGAGGGTTTTATAGTCTGCTTCCTCTCCCAGTTAACTACTCTGTGACAGAATGGATAGGCTGAGGGAGAAGGGACCGGAACGAGACTGGAAGATTATCACGTCAAGGTTCTCTTTCATAAATATGTTCATGAAAAAGTTCATTAACTTACATAATAATGCCAGCTGCCCTTTACATTGTCCTAAATGCTTGTTCCATTGAACTCAAGATTTAAAGCTGTTTTTCTGGAGACGAGTGGTTTTGTTCTGGCTGTGACGTGATTCACTTTGAAGGTTGGGTACGACAGAATGGGGAAAACACTAGATGATGCAGTGCAAGTGACCCTGACATGAGAATCAATCTGGACCCTTAGATAAAAGGAGTAATGTATTAAAGATCCTCCAAAATTGTTATTTGTATTCATGCTCATGTCATATTTAGTGGACTGTACATTCTTCAGTTGAAGACGGTGGTATAGCAGCAGGTTTTATTGCACTCTGGATTGTTTTTTTTTATTTCAGATACATCAACTGAATTCATGTTGCTTAATGTTTGAATCTGTGTGTACTGTGTGTGCATTCATTTTCATTTGTTCAGTGAGCCATCATGTAAATCATCACCAGTAAACTGGAGCTTTAGCTTCCTCTTCAGTTACAGACACAGTAAGGAAGCAGGACACACAAACACTAATAGAGCAGCTTTACCGGCAGTAACAGGTAAGAAAAACCTTTAATCACTGTTATTGAGCTTTAACCTTTTGGCAAATTGAAGGGATTTGTTTTTATTTCGAAGTTTAGAAAACAAGCTACATTTTTTAATACATATCCAATATCAGTTTACAGAAACTACACATACATGAAGAGTTCATAGCATTTTTATGAAGAGTGCAGTAACACTCTGTTAGAATCCATTAAATTAATTTAATAATGTGTAAAACGTACTGTAAAGAACTGAACATACACTCAGTGATGCTTAGTGTCTACATCATTCATGATTTGTTTCTAAATACATTAAAATCTATTTATTAAGCAAACAGCCTGCGATACTAAACACTGGTACAACAGGAAGCCTCTTTAGTCTCCAAACTATATTCATTACTGACCAGTGTTTATAGTTATAACTCATTGATTATTGATACAAATTTTGTGCAAATAACAATACTTGCTCGTCCATTATGTATTCAAGCAGCATTTTTGGACAAAACAGAAACATTTCAGTAAAATTACATTATTTTTCAGGTTCCGTGTGACTAGGTGGACCTTTTATTTATCACTTGTCCGCGTTCTCCCTCACCTGTCACTGTTCTCCCTGAAAAAGTATTGTCTCCTGCACTTCCAGTCACCTCCCTTTGGCCACGCAACAACCACCGTGTCACATTAATTCTGTATTTATCTTTATTTCCAACAAACAGAGCCACCCAGCAGTGTGAACTGCTTTCCTGACGAAAACTATTTCAGAGTGTTTTTAATGTTTTAACTCGATTTCTCCACAGATTAGTTTCAGAAAGTTTGATTCCTTTTTTATTTAGTATAATTATGTGCTTTTTTAATATGTGAAGCTACTGTGCACGTCTGTGTGTGTGTGTGTGTGTGTGTGTGTGTGTGTGTGTGTGTGTGTGTTTATTTGCATTTGTCCAGTAAGCCATCATGCAAATCATCCTTAAAATAGTTGGAAAAGTACAAAACAAAGAGAGTTCTTCTGGCTTTAGTTTCACTTCAGTTACACTCCCATGCAGACACTAACAGACGGACTTTACCAGCACTGACATGTAAGATACACCTTTAAGACTCTGAACACTGTTACTGAGCTTTAACTTACTGTCAAAGTGAAAGGATTTGTTCTTAATTTGACGTTTAGAAAACAAGCTTAATTTTTTAAGCAAATAAGCTTTTAATTTCTGTCACATTTTCCAGTAATACTTTATTCAAATTGTCCCTGTAAATGATCTATGCACACTTAAATCAGTCACACATTCAGACACCCAATGACTCCATTTCCCAGAACCCTCTGGGAGATCACATGACCGCAGAACCTCTGCAATCCACCAATCACCGTTCTGAATCACCTGAATACTGATATGTTTCACCAGCTATGTTTGTCGTGTGACTAGTTTAGTTTAGTTTAAAAGCCCAGGCTTTAGATTAGTTTCTTTGTGAGGTATTGTTTTTCCTAGTAGAGCTACAGAGCGTTTCCAGTTTGCCATTGTCTGTGTTCAACCCTGTTTCTGGATTTTCTGACTCTGTTTTTTTTCTACTTTGCCCCTTTTGGATCTGGTTGCCTTTGTTATGTTTGTCCTTTTTTGTCATTTGGCTCTACTGGATTTGACCTGGTTTTACAAGTAAAGCCTCATTTCTGATTTTACCATGAGCGTCTGGCTGGTTCTGTCTCATTACAAAATCATTAACAAACTTTCTGGTGACAATGGTTGATTTATCATCACCATTATGGTCTGGGTTAGGTTTAGGAGTAGGTGTAGGTTTTATCTTTAGGTTAAAATTACAGTTAGGGTCTGGGTTAGATGTAATAAAATCTTACTCAACTTCAAGTTGAGGTGCATTTCACTGAAATTTAGTTGAATGTTACTTAAAGACAGACTGAGCGTCTACTAAGCATCTACAGTGGGGTTAGAGGGGTTAAATCTAGTCCTGGTCTACACAGAGTTCTAAATAGGCTTAATCCCTGTCCTGAAAACTAATCCATATATCATTTCTTACACATCATCATCACTTGAAATTAAGACAGCAGTTGTTTTTAAC